ATAATACCATATACCATACCATATGTCATATCTGTTCATAAATAAAATTTAACAAATGAATCACTTGACTAATGTGTTATTTTATTGCTTTTCCAGAGTTAATTTTTGTTGTTAATCCTCACCCTAGGATATTTTTCCATTGATTTTTAGGGTGAGATGGAGGGGGAGAGACACAGAGAGAGAAACATCGATATGAGAGAGATACATCAATTGGTTGCCTCCCACACAGCTCGGAGCAGGGCTGGGGATTGAGCCTGAAATCTAGGTATATACCTTTGACTGAAATTGAACCAGTACCCTTCAGTCCTGGGCTGATGGTCTATCCACTGAGCCAAACCACCTGGGGCCAGAGTTAATTTTAATGAAACTGGTCATTACACTGTTGGTGCCATGGGCCCTCATTGTACTAACATTATCATTACATTTGTATAATAAAAACTTAACTAAATTACTTTAATCAACATTTAAAAATCAGGGATGAGACTTTAACATAGGATTTGAGGGGTTTTTATTGTTGCTATTTTGGTTTAAAAAAAATCCATGGCAGGCCCTGAGGATTCAGGGGTCCCAGAGTTGATTCCAGTCAAGGGCATGTACCTTGGTTGCGGGCATATCCCCGGTTGGGGGGAGGGGGGAGGCAGCTGATTGATGTTTCTCATCACTGTTTCTGACCCTCTGTCCCTCTCCCTTCCTCTCTGTAAAAAAAAAAAAAAAAAATCAATAAAATGTATATATATATATATATTTTTTTTTAAATCCATGGCAGTTTAAGTGTAGGGAAAACATAGTAAGGTCTAACTTTCTGAAATGGCAGAGATTTGAAGGGATAGGATAAGTGGGCAGGACCTGCTGAGGGTGGAACAGATCTGATTTGGAAATCTGATGTTACAAATCAGACAGCACAGGGACCAGATGCAGACTGCAGAAAAGCCTGGCTTGGCTCGTACAGTGTTTTCAAAATGCGTGATGTTGTCTGCCAAGTCATCTGGTCCCCTCCTCCCGAGGGCCTACTCCCAGCAGCTCCCTCATTGCCTTTGCCTGCTTGGCCCTGGTAAGCTGTTAAGTGTCTGGAGAACAGTTACATCACATCGCTAAATGAAACATGGAACTTGGGAGGGAAAGAGGTGAGAATGGAGATTGTAAAGGATACATGGAATTTGAAAGGCAGCTGAGCCCACTGAGGGTGGAGGCCGGGGATACAGGCAGGACTGTGCACATCAGGTTGAGAGCTGGGATTCTGAACAGACCAAATACAAGAAGCTGGAGACAAAACGTGGAGCATCACTCACACTTAAGGCCTGTAGGTCACCAGAACCCCAATGAAGGGAAAGAACTGCCCTAAGAGAAACAGGGTAGAGCAAGGCTAGGGAGGGCCAGGAAAGAGAGAACTTCAAGGGTAAGGTAGTGAACTGCACCTAGAGGGAAGGGACAGGATGGAGGGGAGCGGGATCTGCTAGATTTGGTGCTGAGGCTGCTGATACCATCAATGAGCCAGTTCAGCTGAGAAAACAAGGTAAGATTCCAGACGTAAAGGAGCAGATGTAATTGTAGGTGGACACAGCTACTCTTTTGAGATGGTTGATAGAGCCCTAGCTGCTTTGACTCAGTGGATAGAGCATCTCCCTGTGGACTGGAGGGTCTTGGGTTCATGGGTTCAATTCCTGCCAAGGGCACATGCCCGGGTTGCAGGCTTGATCCCTGGTAGGGGACATGCAGGAGGCAGCCGATTAATGATTCTCTCTCATCATTGATGTTTCTCTCTCCCTCTCTGAAATCAATAAAAAATATATTTTTTAAAAACGATGGCTGACAGAGGGAAGGAGCTGGAACACCATTCAGCGATATGTAGGATGGAATATCTCGGGATCTGGTATTTTGAAAGAGAAAAAGACCAATGAGAAGGGAGCAGGCTCTACAGGAAGTAGGAGGGGATGGGCACAAGTGGAAGAGGTAGCTCTGGAAATATTTTCAAATATTGAGGAATGTTAAGAGGGTGCTGGTTGGATGGCCTACAATGTGTTAGGTGAGATCAGCAGTTACAGCCATTCAATTTTGAGCTTTAGGAAAGAAGAAAAAGGTCTGGGATAGTTGACATAAGTAATGTGGTGCGGGCTATTCAGGAAGGCAGGACAGGCTTGCTAAGTAGCAAGGAAAGCTCAGCTGAGATTAGCAAGCATGAACTAGGGTTCAAACTGCCATGATTTTGTGAGTTTATTATCTATTAGAGGCCTGGTGCACAAAATTAATGCACTGCAGGTGGGGGGGCTGGGGGTCCCTTAGCCCGGCCTGCACCCTCTCACAGTCCGGGACCCCTTGGGGATGTCTGACTGATGGCTTAGGGGGATTGGGCCTAAGCTGGCAGTCAGACATCCCTCTGACAGTCAGGGGCTCTTGCAGTCCGGGACCCCTCACTCCTTACCACCCATTTGCATCAGAGACAGGAGAGGCTTCCAACACCACCGCTGCACTCGCCAGCCATGAGCCCAGCTTCTGGCTGAGTGATGCCCCCACTGTGGTCAGTGTGCATCATAGCAACTGGTCACTCTGCCGTTTGGTCAACTTGCATATTAGGGTTTTATTATATAGGATTACAAACTGCAGATTTGCAGAAGGTTCATTTTTTTAGATGTAGTTACCTTTCTTACAAAAATGATCATTCCACACATATGAATTGCAAGCCTATTAATACCACAAGCAGGGTTTTTCCTGCAGTATACTTGGTGTTAAACTGTCAGTGTTCAGGGACATAATCTTGGGATACCAATCGGTTTCTAATGTGAAGACATGGTTGAGAATGTCATTACAAAATATCTTTTATTATTAGGATTATTTCTCCTAAGCAACTGACTCTCCCCTCCCCCTTCTTTTTCTTTGTGCATGTTGTAAATTGTGAAACTGACTAGGACCCTTTTTCAAGTCAGCTATAGAGGGGGAATTCTGGCTTAACGTCAGACTAAGGAATAGGGCTCAGCAGGCTATACTTTTCTTCTTTTTTAAATCCTCACTCGAGGATGTTTTTATTGGTTTAAAGATAGAGGAAGGGGGAGAGAGAAACATCAATCGATTGCCTCCCAAACCAGGGATTAAACCCACAACCTAGCTTTGTGCCCTGACCAGGAACTGAACCCACAATATTTTGGTGAACAGGACGATGCTCCAACTGAGCCACTCAGCCAGGACAGCAGGCCACACTTTCATTGGCCACTTTTCTGCCTCCATTTTGTGACTCTCCTGTTCCTCCTCCTCCTTAGTTATCTTATTACAGTTCACATATCCTAGAAATTACTTTAAATCCTTTTTTGGAACAAAATAGAACATATCAATATTAAACATATAAATGCTTTAAGGTACTTTAAACACATTAATAATTGTGGCAATTATTAAATATAAAGCAATTAGTTACAGGCCATTAGACCCAAAAAAGCTTTTTTAAAATCTTTCAACTAGCCATTTAAGAATAATGAATGGTATAGAGCAGAAAGCCACATCAGTAACCTTAATCATAGCAAAATGAGTGGAAAATTGAACTGGATCTTGTCTCCATGCCCTCTTCCCTAGACAGCCATTTAATGTCTATGTCATGTTACATATAATACCACATGGTTATAGAAAACACCATTAAAAAAAAATAGACTGAACTAGATGTTTGCTTCGATTTCTTTTATTTTACTTTATTTTATTTTATTTTTTTTTTGAGAGAAAGAGAGGAAGGGAGAAACGTTGATTTGTTATCCCACTTATTTATGTATTCACTGGTTGATTCTTGCATGTGCCCTGACCCAGGATCAAACCCAAAACCTTGGCATACAGGGTTCACTTGAACCAAATGAACGACCCTGCCAGGGCTGTCTCCATTTTTTGTATGAGGAAACCTACCATAATTATGCCTGAGAAGTTAAAAAAAAAAAAAAAAAAAAAAAAAAAAAAAGAGCAATTTGCCTGGCTGGCATGGCTCATGAAAAAGGGGCCAGTTCAATTCTGGTCAAGGGTTGCAGGTTGATCCTCCGTCGGGGGACATGCAGGAGGCAGCCAACCAATGATTCTCTCTCATCACTGATTTTTTTTTTTTCTCTCTCTCCCTCTTCCTTCCTTCTCTGAAATCAATTAAAAATGTATATATTTTTAAAAAGCAATTTGCCCCTTTTAATTATTTTGCATGCTTCTTATCAACACAATTTAAAATCACCATTTGTAGTGGGTGAAGGCCAACTTTAAGTTCCAGTCCACCAGCATGCGGGCCCTCGAGCAGCGTACTTATGTTTCCTCGTTTGAAAAGCAGTGCGAACAGAACCTACCTCATACGATTCTGAGGCCTTAATAAGTGTGTTTGAGTGAGGTACTCAGAACAGTGTCTATGAGGTTTTCAAGGCACAAAAAACTGGTAGCTATACTAGCTTTGGCTTTACAGGTGGGAAAACTCATGAGCTTCTGGGGGTCCGAGCCGAACGTTTGGACCCAAACAAGCCAATGACCAGCTGGACTCCAGGAGCTCACACTAAGGCGTAGCTAAAGGCCAAAGAGGAGGCTTCCCCAGGGCACCTGCTGAGACACTCAACCCAAAAGGTTCTCCTTCACGGTCCTTGGCACAGGTTCGGTACCATCATTCCACATTAACGGCCTCTGACGAGAGCCCCGCTGCATTCAATTATTAAGTATTTATTGAAGGCCTGCTTTCTCGTGCAATAAGCTTTAAATACCACAAATAAAAAAACCAACAGAGAACCCACTCTCCCCCCTCACCCCCTCCCATCCCCCAGGCTTCAAACTGTCATGGGCAAAACTAGCAATACTTATCAAAATATAAAAGTGTTAAATAATAAAAGCGTTATACCTGTCTCGAACTGAATGGAAATCACAAATCGCCTATCACAATTTTAAATCTTAATTACTGAGACCATACACTATGTGACAATGATAAGTACACTTTGGGGTCCCAGGAGTTGGGAGTCGGTCCCACACGGGAAGCATTTGGTGTAGGTGGAGAGAAGGGGAACAGCCACTCAGTCCCACTGGATCGTTCGCTCTTCCTCAGGGAGCACATTCCAGTTGGGGGAGGCCATGTCCCGAGCCAACCAGTTGAAATCGTCGACATCGTCCCAGTTATTTTTGCTCCTATCTAAGCCAGAGCTCTCAAAGTCTCGGTCGATCCCCGGGTAGCTCCAGGTGTAAGGGGCGAACTGGATCCCGTGGCAGTCCTCCACGATGGCCCTGCAGGTCACCTGCAGGAAGATGCGGGTGTCCTTCGTCGTGTGTACGCGGAGCTGCTGGCAGGCCACGGCCAACACGCACTCGCTGCAGTCATCCAGGAACACAGACGTGGACACGGGGCCGCAGAGCAGCGTGCAGCCGCGGGCCTTGCTGAGCCGCAGGGTGTTGGGGTTGCCATACAGCTTGATCGTGCAATTGCTCAGCTCGGTCAAAAGGACGTCTCGCTGGTGCAACTCCTCCGCTCTCTTCTCCAAGACCTGGGACTTGAGGTTGGAGAAGCCGCAGAGCCAGCTAGAGCCTGCGGCTCCGTCCTCGGTCACGGAGGGCGGGGAGGCCTGGATGCTTCCCGCCGCCGCGGCGCCGGGAGTCGCATCCGCTGCTGGCGGGGCCAAAGCAGCATCCTTCCTCCGGGTCTTGAAGGCGAACCGCTTCTTGGGCTGCAGCTGCTGGCGCCGGTCGGCCAGGGCCGCCTGCAGCTGCGCCAGCGCCTCCTGGGCCTGCCGCACCTCGTAGGCGGCCAGGAACAGCACCGAGTCGTTGAGCAGCTTCTGGAGCCCCTGGAGCCGGGCGGCCGCCTCCTCCAGCCGCTCGGCGGACTCCCCGCCCTGCAGCAGCTCTTCCACGGCGGCTCGCTCGCGGGCGAAGGCGGCCGTGAAGAAGTCGCTCTTCTCCTCCACCACCTCCTGGTCCTGCCGCTTTTGCTTGCGCTTTTCCGCCTCCAGTTGCCTCTCCTGATCTCGCCTCTGAAGCCGCTCGGGCAGCAGGCTCCGCTCCCGCTGGGACCCCGCGTCCCCGTTCCCGACCGCGGCCGCGGAGCAATGAGCCGTCTCCATCTTGGCGGCGAGCTCCCTCGCTCCGGCCTTCCTGCCTCCGGGCGCGCCCTCCGCGAGGCGTCCCACCAACGCGCCCTCTGATTGGCCAGGCGCGATGACGTCAGAGGACCGGCCTTATCTCCTCGGCCCATTGGCTCCTCCACCCCGAGGGGCGGGGCCGGCTGACAAAGAGGGTGGAGAGACAAAGGTCCTGGTGGATGGGTGGGGCTGGAGGCGGGAGGGGGAAGCTTTTTTTTTTTTTCCTCTTAAAGGGGCAGGACTTATATCCGGGATTGTGGGGTGAGTTGCAGCAGCGGCAGCTGCACATGTGGGTTTGTTTATAAGAACAAGGTTAGACACTCGCAGGCCTCCTCCTCCCCCCCAGCTCCTCCCTACCTTCCCCTGACAGGCCGGAGATCCGCTCCTGGTGGGGGGACTGTGCGCGTGTGGCGGGTGGGGGGACAGGCAGTGGGAAGGAAGATGGAGGGGGGGAGGATAGTGCACCGCCCGGCCCGCGTCGGAGGAAGCGGCCGCTGGAACAGCTGGCTAGGGAGCCACTTGCTTGCCTCTGGTTTTTTCTTTTCCACCACCCCTTCCCCCAACCCATTCCTGCCGCCCCCAAACCCTGATCCTACCCCCGCCCCCTCCAGCCGCAGCCTCTGCAGATCGGCGTGGCCCGGGGCTCCAGGGTCCCCGCAGGCAGATACGGGGGCGGGAGAAGGCGAAGGCCACTCGGGTGGGAGAGACTGGGTTCCTCGTTGCTGCGGGGTTCGGGGGGCCCTGGGGGGCCTAACATCGAATTACTGTTTTTTGGGCCAATTGCGGCAGTCGGCGGGCGGGGGCGGGAGGGTGAGACTCCACACCCCCTTCTCTTCCTCCCCCTGGTCCCCCACCCCCCCCCCCCCGGCTGTCACCCCTCCGCCGCTGGCGCCGCGGGGCGGGACGGGCGGGACCCCGGCCGGGCTCTGCGCGGCCCGGGCTGTCAGCCTGGGAGGGCGGCGGGGATGTCACATTTCTCCCGGAGGAGGAGGGAGGGGTTTGCCACCGGAAGTGGGGAGCCTCGCCCGCCGCCGCCACCAGCCCGGGTGCGAGTGGGCCGCCCCGCGGCGCCGTCCCCGGCCGGACCCGGGCGGCCGGAGCCCGGAGGGGCCGGTGCGGCCGGCGGGGCGCAGGCTCCGGGACCCGGGCCGCCCTCCAGGCTCGGGTTCCCCGTATCTCCCTCCCCGAACGCACACTCCGGCCTCCCCGGCTGTCATTGGGGATTTAACGCCCAGGAACTGTCCCCGGCTTCTCCCCGCTCCGCCTGCGTTGTCCTGCGGAGGAGGTGGGGGGAGAGGAGGGAATTGAGACACTTCCAATGTCTAACGCTGCACTGTCCTCCTTTCCTCCCCATTTAAACAAAACAAAGACAGCACGCTTACATGTCTGTGTCTCCACTGACCCTCAGTGCGGGCTACCCGTTGGCAGATCCCGCGCGGGGGGTTGGGGTGAGGGTGGGGAGTGGAGGGGAGGGGGGGTGGGGGATGGGGGGGTGGGGGGGTGGGTGCTGGGGGTGAGGGTGGGGGTGAGGGTGCTGGGAGGGGTGGGGGTGAGGGAGCTGGGGGTGGGGGGGAGGGAGCTGGGAGGGGTGGGGGTGAGGGAGCTGGGGGTGGGAGGGAGGGAGCTGGAGGTGAGGGTGGGGTGCTGGGGATGAGGGTGGGGTGCTGTCCGCGTGTCCCTGCCCCGGTGCAGGTGCAGCTGGAAAATGCCCGTGCTTCCGCTGATGCGTGCATGCTGTTGTTCTTTGTTGTCATTGGCTTTGCTTCTGGACGAGATAAATGCGGCTCTTGGTGTTCTGTGCGGTGTGTTTTTGAGGCCGCTGGATGAAATCTAGCTGTTTATCTTGTCTCCGTCACACGAAGGAATGACTTGGCTGCTTTCTTTTATGAAGAGTTGATTTAACCAAGGAAGGTTTAGGGAAGACTTATTTTGCTGGGGGATGCGGGGAGGGAACCCCTGATCTGTCTCTCTCTTAAGTTTTTCAGCAACTGGCTCTGTCTAGTAGAAATGAAGAAAGATTGTAGCCAAGCAAGGGTTATCGGACGTGGGAGTTACTGCTGGCTGGGGGCAGGCAGCATTTCCGCTTTAGCCTAGTAAATGTGAGTGGTGGTTAGTGTCGCCTGTATCAGTAGGCGAATGAATGTCATTAAACTCTTGCAGGAATTTCATTTCTGCCCGACACCCGATTTTGGCAGAGTCCAGTGGACATGGGAAGTTTCTGAATATTTGGAAGGTGGCTAGTTCTAAGTTTTATGAGAAAGAAGCAGTAAAGGGCAGACAGGGGCAGGCCACCCGGCTGGCCCAGTGTGTCAGAGAGGGATGCGAAGCCGAGGGGCAAGGGCCCTGGTGTGGTCTTGAAGCACTGGCGTGGCAGTGTTTTCCAGGCCCCGCAAACAGCCCGGGAAGGCCTGTATGTAGAGCTGCATGCCTGGTCGGAAAGCAGCAGGAAGCTGAGAAGCTCTGGCCTGGCCCGAGGGTATCGGTATCTTCCTGCCGTTTGAGGGCGGGCAGGTGGGCGCATCCTTGAAACAGACGCAGCTCCTGTTGTGAAGGGGCAAAGAGGGGGGCCCTGCAACAGACAAAGGCAAGCAGCCGGGAGCTCTGAGGCCTTTTTTCAAAGATACCTCACGAGGCTTGTGAATCAAAGCACTGCTCTCTTTTAGACATTTTAAAAAGTGTAAAACTTCTAAGTTATTACAGACGTTAAAGATCACTTTAAAAAGTAGGTCCTTTGAAGAAGTTCTATTAGCTCTCAACCATTGACGACTGACAATCGTCTTCCTTCTAAAACCCTGGCCTTTTCCCCACCCCACTTCACTCTGATTATTTTATAGCAAATCCCATCCATTGTATTACTTCATATTTCACAATCCATCAGTATTTCAATTATATCTCAAAGAGATTAGGACTACCCTTTTAAAACCTTACCCCAATATTATCAACTATCACCAAACTCAAAAAAAAAAAAGTGGTGATATAGCCTTATTATCATCATCAGAGTTCCAGTCTATATTCACATTGCTCTGATTATCCTATAATTTCCTTTTCAAGTTATTCTATTTAAATAAAGATCCAATAAAGATCCAAACAATCCCTTATAATTGTCTAGTTAATATGTCCCTTAAATCACTTAAATTACTACCCCCCCCTCAATTATTTTGTTGGAGAAAACCTGGTCATTTGTTCAGTTAAGTTTCTGATAGTCTGTATTTTGCTGGCTGCATCTCCATACTGTGTTTGTTAGATATTAAATATTTGTCATATGTATTGACCTTCTAATGTCAAAAGTGAGTGTTTATGTACTGATATACCGCAGGAAATCAGCAACCAAGTAGTGAAAGCATTTAAGCGCAATAAAACGGCCGTTGGCTGTGGAGATACAGCAGAGAATAGGCCTTTTGCTGCTCTGTGGAGTTCATCAGGGACCAGTGACGTGGAAGATGCCAGGCACACGTGGGCACAATGAGACAGATCCAGACCCTGGATTCTAGTAGCTCGATGCCAGGAAGAGGCGTCACCCATAGTGGATATAAAGCCTTCACTGCAGAGCTCTGTATGCCAACTATCGAATGGTAGGCAGATATTCCCAGCGCGGTCGCTGGCTTTCCAGACAGCTGTGGTATATGTGTTCTTTGTGAAAAGGCTCCAGATTGGTCTGGAAGCAGGACAGGAGCAGCCCTTCCTCCCACCCTTCCCTGGCTCTCCTCCTCCCCTCCACCTTCACTTTTGGAACCTTTTTCATTATCAGACAGCTGAAGCCTAGCACAGACTGGCACGGACTATTTATCTAACATCTCTTTATTTAGCACCTGCTGTGTCCCGCACCGGGCCAGGGAGCCCTCGGCTGCCAAGGCGAATAAAGACATACTCACTGTCTTTGAGGAGGCCTAGAATACTGGCACAAACGGGACATTTTTTAAAAAATATATATTTTAATGATTTTGTACAGAGAGGAAGGGAGAGAGATAGAGAGTTAGAAACATCGATGAGATAGTCATCAATCAGCTGCCTCTTGCACACCCCCTACTGGAGATATGCCCGCAACCAAGTACATGCCCTTGACCGGAATCGAACCCAGGACCCTTTAGTCCCCAAGTCGACGCTCTATCCATTGAGCCAAACCGGTCTTGGTACAAACATGACACTTTTTAACAGTGACAACTAAGAACTGTTACAAAGGCAGGAGGAACAGAGAGTGCCGCCTTGTTCAGAGGTCAGTGAGAGCTTCCCGCGGGGCTGAGAGGATGAGAAGGAATGAACAGGAAGTGAGTGAGTGTCTGGATGTATGGCTCCCGGGCTCACTGGGACTTCACGGAGAGCTGTGTCAGGGGAGAGCAGTGGCCGGAGACAGGCTGCAGGGGTGGCAGCTGATAATGGAGCTGATAGAAAACTCTTTGGAGAAGTTTGGCTGGAAAGGGGAAGGGAGAAGAACTTGGGGTCAGGAGGAGGCCACTGAGGTGTTTTGATTTTTACGGAAAGAGAAGGCTTAAAGTCCAGAATATAAGGGTCCTAAAACGGTTAGTGGGGGACCTAAAACAAGAATTAACTGAGGAGCCCTCACCGGTTTGGCTCAGTGGATAGAGCATCAGCCTGCAGACTGAAAGGTCCCAGGTTCAATTCCGGTCAAGGGCATGTATCTTGGTTGCAGTCACATCCCCAGTGGGGGGTGTGCAAGAGGCAGCTGATCGATGTTTCTCTCTCATCGATGTTTCTAACTCTCTATCCCTCTCCTTTCCTCTCTGTAAAAAACAAACAAACAATAAAATATTTATTTTTTAAAAAAGATTTAGCTGAGAGCAGGAGGAGGGACAGCCTTTCTATTGCAGTGTTAGCCCCTTATCATCTGACTTCCACCCCTGCCACTTCATTTGAAACAAATTGCTTTGTCATCGCCATTCCCTCCTACTCAGATCCATTGCTCTATGTAGCTGTAAGCTCTCCATCCTCCCTTCTCAATGCAAAGCTCCCTGCTCTGTCTTATT